TTGTTTGGGATCCAGTGACAGTGGCACAAGACACCGCGCCACCATCCTTGGACCCATCAGTAAATAACGATTGGTATGTATTATATTTATTTTTTAATTGATTATATTCTTGTTTATATTGTTATTCATTGGTTTCAGATTTCTTAAACTTTGTCAGAGTTAGGTCAACTTCAGGTCTCACCAGTTGCCAAGGAGGAGAAGAAAGAAGACGGGAAGGAGATAAATTTTCCAGCTCAATGCCGGCAGCAGTAATGAATGGCTTAATTCTGAAACCAAGAGGCGGAACAAGAGAAGGCTTTTTGTTGTACACATCCTCATGAAGAGGGTTAAAGAGACAGTTAAATGCAGGGTTAGACTCGTTAGAATAGAGTTTTGTTATATACTATAAAGACAATTTTATACGGCGTTGTGTTAGAGATGGCTCATCGGCCTCGACATAGAGACTGTCAACAGGAGAGGTTCTAAAGGAACCAAGACAAAGTCTTAGACCTTGGTGGTGGACAGAATCAAGTAGTTTTAGGTTGCTTTTGCAGGCTCCACCATATACGATAGAGCCGTAATCAAGTTTCGAGCGGACCAGTGATCGATATAGGTGGAGGAGGGTAGTTTGATCCCCTCCCCACTTTGAGTTGGAAACAACTTTCAACAAATCGAGTGCCTTCAGGCATTTGGCTTTAAGTGATTTAATAAGTGGCAAAAGATGCATGCTTCCTGCATGGACCGTAGTTGGATTTACACCATCCCTTCAGCTGCTGGCGATTGTAAAAAATGTTAGCCAAAATAAAAATAACAAGAATACTACGTTTAAAAATCCTGGTAAACCTTGTAAACTGTTAAGGACAATACAATATAAAAATGGGCTATAGATCGCCGACAACTGAAGGTAGATCACCATACTAGGGACCATTGAGACTTACAGTACCTTTGCATGGGACCTAGCTGGATTTACATTATCCCTTCAGCTGTTAGCAACTGAGACAAATCTAGCCATATTCAAAATCACAAATATTCTACGATTAAAAAGGTTGAGTTTAAATTTACTTTGAATGTTTTGGGACTTGCGTACCCTCTCAGGAGGACAATAATTTTACAGTACTTTAACTTCTTTGAGGATACAGCCACTTACAATCTGAGTTATTAATTCAAACTTGCAATCATAAAATACCACTATCTATTTACAAATCATTTTTAACAAATCTAATTCTATTTCCTTTACAAAAACTAAATGAGAACTGATAATATTAAAATTATCCTTCATAGTTCCTTATTTAAAATAGTTATTCCTTGTGATGGAATATTCAACACTGTCAAGCAAGACATGCTTGACCGTGATTCTCTCATCACAAGGGATGCAGAACCGAAGCTCCTCACCTTTCAATAGGTACTCATGAGTATATCTTGTGTGGCCAATCCGACATCGTCGCATGATGACCTCTTCAAATCTGGACTGACAACCCAAGTAGGTGTAACCAATATAGGGTTTTATTTCATGTAATTTATTAATACCCACTTGGGTGTCCCACTTCTTTTGCATCAGATCACGGATATAAGATCTAATAGCAGCTTTGTAATCAGAGAATGGGATCAGAAGTGGTGTCACAGATTTGTTGAGTGCTGCCTTGGCAGCAAAATCGGCCATTGTATTCCCAGAAATGCCAATGTGGCTGGGTAACCAATTGCAACAAAAGACGATGTCGCATTGGCCAGTAGCAAGATCATTATACAATTCATTATTTCTAATAAAAGTGGATGTTTACAAGAAAGATTTTTAAAAGCCTGAAGACACGAAAGAGAACCGGAAAAGATTATGTATTGTTTATATTTACGGTGTTTATTAATATATTTAAGAGCTGTTAATATGGCGTTAGCTTCTGCTGTGAAATAGAGCTGTTATTTGGTAGTTGAGAAGATGTTGTTTGGGATCCAATGACAGTGGCACAAGACACCGCGCCACCATCCTTGGACCCATCTGTAAATAAGGATTGGTATGTATTATATTTATTTTTTAATTGATTATATTCTTGTTTATATTGTTATTCATTAGTTTCAGATTTCTTAAACTTTGTCAGAGTTGTGTCAACTTCAGGTCTCACCAGTTGCCAAGGAGGAGAAGAAAGAAGACGGGAAGGAGATATATTTTCCAGCTCAATGCCGGCAGCAGTAATGAATGGCTTAATTCTGAAACCAAGAGGCGGAACAAGAGAAGGCTTTTTGTTGTACACATCCTCATGAAGAGGATTAAAGAGACAGTTAAATGCAGGGTTAGACTCGTTAGAATAGAGTTTTGTTATATACTATAAGGACAATTTTATACGGCGTTGTGTTAGAGATGGCTCATCGGCCTCGACATAGAGACTGTCAACAGGAGAGGTTCTAAAGGAACCAAGACAAAGTCTTAGACCTTGGTGGTGGACAGAATCAAGTAGTTTTAGGTTGCTTTTGCAGGCTCCACCATATACGATAGAGCCGTAATCAAGTTTCGAGCGGACCAGTGATCGATATAGGTGGAGGAGGGTAGTTTGATCCCCTCCCACTTTGAGTTGGAAACAACTTTCAACAAATCGAGTGCCTTCAGGCATTTGGCTTTAAGTGATTTAATAAGTGGCAAAAGATGCATGCTTCCTGCATGGACCGTAGTTGGATTTACACCATCCCTTCAGCTGCTGGCGATTGTAAAAAATGTTAGCCAAAATAAAAATAACAAGAATACTACGTTTAAAAATCCTGGTAATCCTTGTAAACTGTTAAGTGACAACACAATATAAAAATGGGCTATAGATCGCCGACAACTGAAGGTGGGTCACCATACTAGGGACCAAGGAGACTTACAGTGCCTTTGCTACCTGCTGGATTTACACCATCCCCTTAGCAGCTGGCGATAGTAGGAAAAATTTAGCCAAAATTCAAATCACAAAAATACTACGTTTTAAAAAGGTTTGTAAGTTTAAATGTACTTTGAAATTTTTGGACTTGCGTACCCTCTCAGGAGGACAATAATTTTACGATACTTTAACTTCTTTGAGGATACAGCCACTAACAATCTCAGTTGAAAATCTGTAGTACCATTTATAAAATACCACTTATCTATTTACAAAATATATTATTTAAAATTAACCTAGTAATTCTATTTCCTTTACAAAAATTATCAAATGAAACTTAACATTATAAAAAGATCCTTAATTGAAATATTTATCCCTTGTGATGGATAAATCAATACAGTCAGGCGAGGGTGTGAGGTCTGTTTATTTAGCTTATAGAAACTGGTGACAATCTGACACACCCTTGCAGTGAATAACTCAATAAGAATACAGTTTTCAATCACATAAGTTGGCATATAAAAGCAACAGAAAGCAGAACAGGTGATGTATTATTAGTTCCGATAAGACATTTTATCTTAATTGCTGCAGTTACACATGCAACACAAATCTAGTATAATCAACATGACGTTATATTCAATTGATGTATTCTGAGTAATGTATTTATGATCTAAAGAAAATATATGCATCTACCTATCTATAATATATAAATACATGTAAATATGTGTACCCTGTGAATCCCACGGGGGTGTTTTCAAGTGTTATAAAGCATGATATAAAACATACCATGAGTACTAATCAATGTACACATCTAAACATTACGTCTAAAATATTAGAGAAATGTATGTGGCTTGTTTAAACAGAATCTTAATCTGATATGGACATACTTAGATTGATACTTTTCAATGGCATAACACGATCATTATAATAGTAACTAATGCCTTCAGTTTCTGATCCTGTATCTGTCTCAAAGTGCAGAGTGTTGTGCCAGTGAGAAAATGGAGTTATGAAAACAAATGGTTTTAAAGTTGGACACCCAATTCAAAACTAGTCAATCATTAATACATCTTGGCTTCCACTTTGATTGATACCTGATCTACCCTACACTGAAGTAGACTTACCCAGTGAAAATCACTTAACAAAAGAGAAGAACTTTAATGATATTACTTTACTTACAACTGATCAAATATCTTATGCAGCCTGAAATGAGAGATTTGAATATTTATAAATCAGTGAAAATGACTGCTCTATAGATGTGAAATTGATACTCTACCCTCTACCACACATACAAAGAGTCAGCCACTGCTGCACCAGGTACATGAAGGACGATTACAGATGTCAGAGACATGAATACGGCCCCAAACATGTGTCTTGCGTTGCTTTTGTTAGTTACCTTAATCTGCTAATCATGAAGGGTTATGCGATGTTTCAACTTTTTCAATGATAAATTAAAAAGGTTTTGAATATGCAAAGCACACGGAGACTTATTATGCTCAAGTACAATTTAAAATGATCATTAACTGTCAGCAGTTCAGCAAATACCAGGAGCGGTGGGGGAGCCTAGTGGTGAAAGCGTTTGCTCGTCATGCCGAAAACCCGGGTTTGATTCCCCACATGGCCACAATGTGTGAAGCTCATTTCTGGTGTCCCCCGACGTGAAATTACTGCTAAAAAGCGGCGTAAAACCATACTCACTTACTCACCAAATACCACATCTCTAACAATGTGTGTGTAACACATCACACTATGTCGACAAAGAAGATTGATTCACACAGTTTTAGATGAAAGTAGTTAGCAAACAATAACAACTTCAGCCAGACACACAATGCTTGAAATGGTGTCACAAAGAATCCTGTGTGGAATCCTGATTGGAATTATGGATCCTCATGTAGATGCCATAATGTGTGTCTTAAAATATCGAGTTCTCATATTATATCAACCATCACGTATTTATGCACCAGACTTCTTTATTCACAGGCCACCAGGACAAACCCAGAATACAGCTGACTGTTGACGGCAGTAATACACAGCCAAGTACAGAGAAAACTTACATCCATTTTAAAGTATCATAAAAACTACAACATGTTTGGAAATATTCAGCAACTCCAAACTTCGTTCATATTCCAGTCCTTAACACAAATGAAGCCATTGTTATTTATGATAATATATCATCTTTTACCGCAGTCACCATCCGGTATTACTTGTCATTTGTGTAATGGTAGTAATAGTAACTCCAATCGCAACTCCCATGAACAGCAGAAGTAGCGTGTTGTTCAAGGCACGGCTGGCTGACAGATACTTCTCTTCTTTCCCACAGCAGATCACGGAAACGAGTTTTCTCAATGAATATTTCTTCATCACAATATTAGCAGTATTCGGCTTAGATAAACTATCACATGCTCTGGTTGCATTGGCAACAGAGCCTCGGTGATGGCACAGCAAGACGAGAACTGTGCTGGCGACTGACAGAGCATTCAGCAGAACCATCGACGTCAGGTAGATGACCAGCAGTGGTGGTTTCTCCGACGATGCAGGAATCTGTTCACTGATGAAGCTCATGAAGACTGCCAGTGACAACAACGCTGACAGTGAGAAGGACAACTTCTCCCCAGACTCCACGGGGACGAGGAACACCATCATGCTGAGGACGGAGATGGTGACGATGGGAATGACGATGTTCAAGATGGCAAACAAAGGTTTTCTGGCTACCTTTAACATGACACTAATTCTGCTGTAGCGATGAGGAGCAATATTGATTTGATCACTTGTCAGCATAGTCCAGTCCACAGTCCACTCAGCATCCTTGTAGTTTCCAATGGTCGTCACTTGTTTTGAAACAGGACGAAATTCCAGTTCTTCAGCAAAATGATCAAGGGAATTCAGTTTGATGTTACAAGTCTGACTGTCGAACGGGAAATAGGTCATGTCAAAATTACAGAAGGTTGAGAAATACCCAGGAACATGAACCACAACTGATCCGTTTTTGTACAACACACGCCTTGTTATTGTCTCCATAACCTCTTGGTCTTCAATACCGTCTCCATTGAGAAAGCTTGGAGTCCAAACATCTCCCTTCTTTGGATGATAGTGTCTCAGACCCCCAAAATCTGCTGATTTCCACACGAGAAACTCGTCCTTCCAGGCAAGTGACAATATCCCACGGATGGAGAACTCATTTTGAGTGTTGTCAATGCGATGGATCCTCTGGAACTGGAAATTTACATCCATAAGTAGAGGTTGTGACTGGTTTAGTAACGGTCTTACGTCTGGGGTGTAGTTGTTGAAAAGGTGATTGCGAAGGCGATGTAAGTCGTCTACGCTGGCAGAGAATGCTGATTGTCTGGTTGAAACAATAAGCAGAAGAATCAGATAAACCTGAGGCATGTTTCCCGACTATCTCTACACACTGGCGTGATCTCGAATATCTTTCATTTCGTTTTCACTGACCACTGTTAGCCTATACTTGAGAATAATGGAGACGAGATCTGATTGATTAGAGGAATAGTATGTGATTGGTTGGATGTTTCCCCGTGTCGTCAAGTAAATGTTTGGTATACTCCTGGGTATTCTGTTTAATCGCTTGCTGTTACACTTCCACCCAAATCGACCAAACAGTGTCTATTCTTTGCACACTATGTGTGTACGCATAATGGTGTTTGATTTTGGTTTTATGGATTCTATATTGATTTACGCCAGTTGTAATTTCCTGAAGACTTCAATAGCGATACGCTAAAAGCAAAAACAATATTCGGACAAAACAGCAGGTACATGTTGTGATGTGTATCTCAGTGAGCTGGCACTATAAAACCAGCTTAAGTCTGGGCTAGTACAAGCAGCCACACATACACATACACACGCATGCACGTCGTCACATGAGCGAAATATTCTCAAGCACGACGTTAAACCCAATTTCACCTCACCTCACATGTTGTGATGTCAGGACTCTTTTATAAGATGAAAACCTCTTTCCACTTCCTTATAAAGGGATTTAAAATTGTTTTTCCTAGCTATATATTTTTCAGTTGTACATATATCTTATAATAGCTTATGAAATCCCTCAAAAGAAAGTGCATGTTGTTTAATTCTTGAACCATAAATGAATCTTTTGGCAAGAAGTAAGAAGTATAATATGATTTAGTATTTTATTGTTAGAGCACATTCCAAAGATTATAGTGAATTTTGTAAATGTGACATTACAATGGACGTGCTACATTTTGCCAAAAGTTTTAAACTAAATCCCAGTAAAAGAATACATGCGATATGTCTCCTGAGGTATCTTTACAATAGTACATGTATCATTGTCAACTAGCTTCATCCTCAATAGTTCTTTCTTTGTATAAAATATTCTGTAAATAAATATGTACTGAAAATCTAACAGCTTACAATCTATTGTACATTTCCTGTAATATCTGAATACATCACTCCACATTATATCATGATGAAAGACAGTATTCCAATACTCTAGTACCTTAGGGGTATCGTTGTTCTTCATCACTTTATCATAGAATATCCTTGAAGCTTTAACATTTGAGATCATTGAGATCTTGGTAAACACTATTAATGTTTAATTGATTTAAGCAGAGAGCTCTGTTTCCTACAAGTTGTCTCCAGTTCACTGGAATGTTATTTAACAAATGATGATAATCTAAGAAGGTTCCTCTTATTTTGTACCTCTGTTTTAGATCTTCAAAACTGAGAAATCCACTTTCATTACAAATATCTCTGACATAATGTATATCGCAATCAAACCAATTTTTAATGATGTATGAAGATTTAAAGAAATGGTTTAACCAAAGTGGCTGAGCCAGGATTTAGTCATCACTGTCAAAGGTGTGCTTTTTATAAAATACTCTCCAAGCAGATAAAACATCTCTCCAATAAGGATTATCATTGCCAGATAGCAATCAACAGCATTAAAACTAAGTAAGTCCAAATGACTTAAGGGAAAGATGCTATTAAAGCTGGAAGTTTTCCTTCAAGTTTAGATGCAACAAAAAAATAAACATAATTAAAACCCAATTATCATTTATTCATGACATATAATATACATTGCTGATTATGGAAAAACAAATAAACAAAATTATAAGCGTACAATCGCAAATCAAAAGTGCAGTATTTTGTACTTGGGTTTACTTACCTCGAAACGAAGCACCCGGGATACCGAACCCGATACACTCAGGGCTATTTGTGTGTGCATAGAGATGTTGGATTTTGTAAATACATTTATAACATTTTGCAATCAACAGACTGACTGACTGACTGAGTTTGGTTTTACGCCGCTTTTAGCAATATTCCAGCAACATCACGGCGGGGGCACACCAGAAATGGATCAACAGACATCATAACATGTCATGTGTACAAGTATCACACCTGCCTGTCTGTGTAATTACATAATGTGACAGAGACAGAACTCAGGTGCACGAGCCATAAATCAATGCGTTTTGTTTATGGTGTATAGCCTGATAGGTGTTTAGTTCAAATTGCATGTGGTCAGTGATCGAAGTTGTGTATTGTATATCGTCATTAGCAGACACGCAGGCAGACACATAGGTGTCAATAAAACACATTGAGTTTTGTCTGTGACAGAGGCATATCTATACCACAGTTAGAAATTCTGACAATGATAAATAATGACGTTTCTTTTAGTGAGTGAGTATGTTAAGATTTTAAGTCACATATATCAATATTTCAGCCATATCGTGACTAAATCAAGTTATAAATATATAAACAATTAAAGGTAAATTATAAAATTCTGTCATCGAAGGACAGTAAAACAACTAGATTATCACAGATATAAATATAAAACTAGTAATTAAATCTAAAATATTTTAACTATAGATGACACTACAATATAAAAACAGTCTATAGATTGCCAACAACTGAAGGTAGATCACCATACTAGGGACCATGGGGACTTACAGAACATTTGCTTCCTGCATGGACCCTAGCTGGAGTTACACCATCCCCTCAGCCGTTACCAATTTAGAAACATCTAGCCATTCATTTAAAAGGACACATTTACTACGATTACAAATAGTGGAGAGTTTGAATTTACTTTGAATGTTTGTGGACTTACGTACCCTCTCCGGAGGACAATAATTTTACAGTACTTTAACCCCCTTAAATGATGCAACCAATAACAATCTGAGTTACTAATCTAAACTTCCGATCATTTATCTATTTACAAATCAGTTAACAAATTTAATCCTTTTAAAAATGCAATAATTAAATGACAACTTGTATTATTAAAAAGATCCTTCATAGTTCGTGATTTGAAATAGATATGCCTTGTGATGGAATATTCAACACAGTCAAGCAAGACTTTGACCGTGAGTCTTTCATTACAAAGGATGCAAAACGGAGGATCCTCGGATGTGAAACTTATACACTTACTATGGATTACAAAACCCCCCCTAAAACGAAACAAACGTCAATTGGACAGTGATGATGACGACCAACGACCTTCGAACTCAAACGAATACTGGCCACGATTTCTAGTTCTCGAGACACTTGACAAATCACCTTTAAAACTCCTTTTGCAGTATCAAAAGGTGTACATGGTATTGCAGGTGAAGTCCGTAATATAAAGCGATTGCGCACAAATCTGATGTCAACTAAGCTGTTCGTTGGAATACCGTTTTCGGTTTCTCCGCATAGAACTTTGAACTCAAGTAAACGAATCGTAAGGGACCGGGACCAACTGTTTGCTGATATGTATGAACTGGACATCGTCTCAGAAATGAAGGACCAAGGAGTGACTTTTGTGAAACGGTTCACGACCCGGAACAATTCTGAAAATAGACCAACAAATACCTACTTATTCCATTTTCTTCTCCAACTGCTCCAACATCAGTTAAAGCAGGATATTGCATTATCAGTGTTGAGATTTATATTCCAAACCCACTGAGATGTTTTAACTGTCAAAAGTATAGACATTGTGTCAATAGCTGCACACATTCTATAACATGCGCTCACTGCGGTGAAAACACTCATGTAACTGAAGATTGTGATAGTAACTTCAAAAAATGCACAAACTGCTCTGGCACTAATTCATCTTTTTCCAAAGAAAGTCCACTATGGAAACAACAAATGGAGATAAACAGAATTAAATTTACAAGACATATTAGTTTTGCTGATGCCAAAAAACTTGTTCAGATCCCAGAACCAAATGAGTCATATGCCTCGGTTACTAGAGCATCCACTGGAATGAATGAAAAAGTAGCTGCAACTATGTCCACTTCATCCACATCATGTCAAACTGATTTGACATGGGTTGACACGGATAAACCTGAAGTGTACTCACCTCACCAGTCAACGCAAACCGTTGAATCACTATCAAAAACACCAGTCACAGTTGAAGTTCAATCTCGGTCATCTTCGAAGGAAAAATCATCATCACAGTCAACTCCAAAACTTCCAACTGGAAATTATGCGAAGCAAGTTTAAAAAAATAAAGTCACCCAAGCTGTTTCTCTGGCCCTTGCGAATAGGTCTTGCACGTGTTGATGGACGATATGACGGTCCTGGCGACGTGTTGTTACACGGGGTTGACCACTATGTGGACGGTCATCAGTGCTGCTGGTGGCGTTGTATCGCACTCTAAGACGTTCTATCGTTCGTACGCTGCAACTGAAGTCATTAGCAATGACTCGAGCATGTTGACCAGCGTGCAGACGTCCAATAGATTGTTGTGGTTGATCTCTCGTTAACCTAGTCATAGCTGCTGTGTTCAGAAAACAAGTGAACGATTGCCATTCAAGCCGGCAATTTATACAGCTTTATAATCAGAGTATGGAATAAGAAGTGGTGTCACAGAATTGTTGAGTGCTGCCTTGGCAGCAAGATCGGCCATTGTGTTCCCAGAAATGCCAATGTGGATGGGTAACCAACAGAGGACGATGTCGTTCGGGCCAGTTGCAAGATCATTATATAATTCAATAATTTCTATTAAAAGTGGATGTTGCTTCTGCTATAAAAATAGAGCTGTTATCCGGTATTCAAGGAGATATTGTTTTGGATCCAATGACAGTGGCACAAGCAACAGCGCCACCATCCTTGGACCCATCTGTAAATAAGGATTTGTATGTATTGTATTTACTTTTAATTGATTAAATTCTTGTTCATAAATCATTAGTTTCTGGTTATTTATACTTTGTCAGTGTTAGGTTAACGTCTGGCCTCACCAATTGCCAAGGAGGAAAAGAAGGAAGACGGGAAGGAGATATAGTTTCAAGATCAATGCCAGCAGCAGAAATAAATGGTTTCATTCTGAGCCCAAGAGCCGGGACAAGAGGAGGTTTCTTGTATAAATCCTCATAGAGGGGATTGAAGACACAGTTGAAAGCAGGATTAGATTCGTTAAGAAATATTATTTTGTAATATAT